ATCCATCTACAATTCATGATCTAACCCCTGTAATCCGAATCAGAAGGGCCGATGCCACGGACGCCTGCTGTTTGATCAACTCAGGTGAGCGATCATGTTTGGAGCTACGATCACTTTTCCTGGCCGCGAACGGTGGACAGATCCTCTCCCAACCCATCTGGAAAAAAATGTAAAAATGGGGGCACCACTGCACCCACACCATTAGCATCATTAGCTATTTTTTCTCCTAAAATCCTACAACTCATCCAATTTTGCTGGTCCCATGAATTTTAGCCCATGCCAACCCCCGATCCACAAAGCCCGCAGCCAAGCCACCGCAGGTTGTGTTGCTTACATGCCATCAATTTCTCCTTGGATGACCATTGAGGACGCAAAAATGGCCCTCAGATCTTAGTACTGCCAGCTGGCTGGTTCATATGTACAGGATTTTTTGTTGAAATTGATAAGGAAACCTGCCAACAACCCATCCATTTCTGTGCATTGAGTTGCATGTTGAGAAGCCACCATCGGTTTGATCTGTTTGCACCATTCTTCCGAATACGGAACTTGTGGCCGGGCAATTCAACCATCCAGTTCAGTTGTGCCATAGCTGATGGGAATCCGTTACTTGAAGATTCTTTACACCCGTAATATCTGACATGGAACCCGACCAATGGGTTTGGAAGATGATTTTTCTACACTGGCCTAGGATTGTTTGGGTTTCATTGGGTTTCGTCGTGTTAGGAGGTGTACCCATTGAAATAGGTGCTTCCTAGTGTATTGCGAAGTGTTCATCCACCCAGTATATTGGAGAGGTCAACTGTTTGTGTTACGTTGGTGGCATGGACTGTCAACCAAGAGCCATTCAAAATTATGATCTCACAAATCACCAGAACGCGCAGTTGGTCCGTCCATTTGCGAAGACAAAAGGGCACTATCTTGAGCCTTGCCAAAGGGGGATTTTGGGAATTCTGTCAAATGCCAAGGGTCGGTTTTCATGTCCGTGACCAGCCGGATGACTACCATAGTTCTCTTGGAGAGCATGTAGTCAGAAAAGAAATACCTTTCCAGTCGCAAGAGCGCGTCTCGTGTGCGCGGCTAAACCCCAGTGCCAATGGGATTCACTCACCACACTCAGTGAAGATGCCCGAGGGCGACTACCATGGCGAATTATTGGGCCCATATCATCCTGGAAAGCAGATCACAGCCCCTCTTGACCTATTTTTTGCGCTGAAATTCCTCATCTTTCCCTGTCATCTCTCCATTGCACATCTCTCCATTGCGCCACGCCCCATCCTTCGCCCCGAACGCTCCAGCCAAGGGTCAGATGGGCCACGTCCGCATCATTCAACTGAGAGGACAAGGCGATGGTTCAGGGGGCTACTGTGGTTTTCCTGTTGAGATAATTGTAACTGGTTTTAACTGACGATGGGATTTGGGAGTTCCAATGGTTCCAAATGTTGAGAGAAACACTGGAGTCCCTAGAGGGCACACCCCAAATGATACCTGGGGCGTTACAGGATTACCCTGTTCTGACTGCCGCTGAACACTGCTACTATTCAATTGCATCTGCACTCCCACCGTTTTAACTGCCTGAACGAAGCCCTTTTCGGTTCCCAGGAAGTAACCACCCGTGGCTGCAGATCCAAGGCTCAATAGCACCGAGTTTTATAGCCCTCAGCATCCCAAGGCTTGGATGACCCGACGTGAAACACTTACAGAATCAGCTATTAAAAGGCCTGGTTTCCTGGAGTAATCGGCCACTCCCCATGATGTAGCTAAAAAATGCTAAAAAGATCTAAAAAGAACATGTTGGTTCCTCTTTTGAGTGATGCTTCTGTTGAGTAAGTGACACACGGAAGCTAGCAGCTAGCCGACAGGAACTAAGATATGAAGCACATGCTTGCGCTACGTTCATCAGTTTGAGCAACGAGAACATTGATGTTCACTTTTACTATCTGCAATCTCTCCTCCGCATAGCGTGCCGTGACGAAGGCAAAGAAAGGGTGAGTCTGTGCGTGCCGTGTACAGATTCTCAGCCAGTCGTGCTATACATTGCTATACCAATGAAAAATCATCTCGGATTCCCGCCCCCAGGGGGCCCCACAATCCATATATGCCATACCCAGGGTCCCAGGGTCCCAGGGCCATCTGCATCCAAGTTGCGCTATTCGGTCCTCCAAGGTTTGAGGGTCGAACATCAAGTCCTCAGCGCCAGCGCTGCCCTAGCGCCCTACAACTGTCAGAAACGTCGAGGAACGGCAAGACAAAGGCATCCTGTTCTGTTCAGTGAAATGTTGTGAAACCTTAGAAGTAGAACATTACAGTAGCTTTCCGAAAAATGGCATGGGTTCATTAGGAACTTTAAACTTAGGTTCATGCCGGGAAAGGAAGCAAAAATTGCTTTTCACATTGATTTTCTTGGTTATGTATATATATATGGCAGTGTGTCAAAACCTTGTACCCCTGTAGTTCACATCAAAATAGCTGGGATTTATGGATGTTCATCCCCCTAAAAATGGTATTAATAGGTACTGATCCATAGCCATATATATATATATACTACATTATATATATATATACATATACATTATAAATATATATATATACTACATGTGTGTGTACCCTCCGGTGTCATCAGCTCCGTGGTAAATCCCACGAACGCTCCGTTTTTTTTCTCGGCATCCGCACCCGGCATTCAGCTCCCATCGTCGTGGCCTGGCGATCGAGGCGCCCGGCAACGAGAAAGAAATCTATGGAGCCCTTTTTCTGCACATGTTTTATGTATATGTATATATATAGTCATCCCCAAATAGATGGAAAAGTAAATCCCTACTAATCTGATGGTGATTTACTTTTCCATCTATTTTGGGATGACTATATACATTGATTTAAAAGAAAATGATATGATGTCTATCATATCTGCATTTAGAATCTATATCTATATATTTTTTACACGTATGATATGTATATTGAAATCTCGGGGTCTGTATTTCTGCTAGAAATATATATGCGTAGAAATATGATGATGTATATGTATATATAAATGTCATACCTGTGTGTAAGTGTAACCCTCCATTGAATGAACATATATAGATATCGAAAACCTACAATTTACAGTAGATCAGTTTCCTTGGTGGCCCATGGTTTTGCACATCTATGTCTATATCCCCAAAATGCTGATGGCTGCATACTATCTAATCTACATGTTGAATGGTTAAGTTCCCACACCTTTGCCAATTTGATACTTGAATCCCCGTGTTTGATGGTAGATTTCCATATTTAATGCTCAATTTGTGTGTTTTTGCATAGCGTTTGGTCAATCTACCGGAGGCACACTATGGCTCGCACTGCTCGCCTCTTCCTCAGGCTCGTCAGACTTCCGTCGAAACGACAACATGGACGACAGGGAACCCAAGGACACCTCGGCCCAGATCCATGGCGAAAAGCGCTTCAGGAACACTCTATCCCTACATATCCCTACAAAAGAGGTGTCAACATGGTGAGTTCATGCCCGGGAAAAGGCCCAGAATTCGACCGGACAGGTCATTGAATAGTAGACCATGATGATCAGCTAATCAATATAGGACGCGCCAGAAGCTACAATGGTACCAGCACTGGGGTCCAAAGATGAAATACCCCAAAAACCATAATACAATAGCTGCATAAACTACAACAGTTCAAAAATCAAAAAGCGATCATGTTTATCGGATTCGAAATGTGAAACCTATAACATTTCTCATGAGTTCAGTCGAAAATCTACGAGATTGTCATTCTTCAAATGTGCTCCCATTATCCTATTGTTTAAGAATATCATGAAAAATTCCCAAGAAATATCAGATCTTAACGCAGAAAGGTTCTTCCACTAGGCTCCAGGCTCTCCTGAGGAACGAAGCCTGGTCGATTACATTTTAACCTCCATAAGTTGGGACACAACAACCACTATGGCGAAAAAAAAACTCTAACTGCATCTCCAAGTAGTCCAACGGGTTTTCTACAGGAATACCGCTGAATACCTCATAAATCGGACTATCCGCTGTCGTCTTCCCAAGATGGAGCAAAAAAAGAGTGTTCTAGTTTTTTTTTAGATTACATCGAAGGCACTGAAAGACTGAAAGAAACTAATTTGGGCCATTGGCTATATGGAGGTTTCCTGAAATGGGGGGACCCTCAATTCTCATCCATTTTAGATTGGGATTCTCCGCTATAAATAAACATGTTAGATTGAGATTTTCCATGTAAACCATCCAGCGATAAAGGGGTACCCCCATGACTATGGAAACCCCCAAAACTAGAACCACTTTCTTAATCATTAAGAACCATTAATAGTCATTAATCACCATTAAATCACCATTAAATCACCATTAAATCTGCGCCTTGGTGGTCGTCGTTGCTACCGTCTCCTTGGAGTTTTTGCGCACCAATTCCTGGCCGGTCGCACTGAAGCCGGTCCCATCAATGGCTGGTGGTTCCTTCTATTGAAATATTTATGTATTTAAATATACACAAATATAATGTGTATCTATATATGTGTGTGTGTGTAAAACAACTAGATACAACTGGATGAAACTCTATTTAGTTGTGCAGTGACATAACTAGGGGGTCTCACCCTATACATTTTTTGGATCTTTATGGGGCCGTCCATCTTGGAAACACGTCTCTTGTTTTCAATACAAACATCCAACAACCATGGATCCGCATTGTGGCCAAACCTGAAGTCTTCTTTAAAAACAAATATAAAACAAAACAAAACAAAACGTTCTGATTCTAGGCAAACAACCGTCTTACAGCCAATGACTGCTGATATTGATGTAACAAAGCCTCATTGGGCTGACAGGCAAGTCAACCGCATTTTTTCAAATGGGTGACTGAAAAATGGAAAGAAAATCCATCGAACACGTGACCAGTGCCAGAACCATGGGGATCATTCTGGCCCAACATGTGAAGGGTTGCCAAACAACCAGACCTACTCTCAACAACAATGTTTTCATCCAGCTCCTATGGCCTCCCCTGGTCTTGAGACGATCTTTCAATTCAATCGCCGGCAGCACGGTATCATCAAGCCGACCCAAACTGATGGATCTCTTGATGCTGGCAGCACAGCCCATGCTCTGTTCCTGGAAACATTTTTTGAAACCACGACCATGGAAATATGATGAAATATGGATTGGTCGGGCGTTGACGCAAGATGGTGTGTTGCATCCAGAAGAGCAAAACACCCATTTTTGTGTGTGCATGTGTGTGTGTGTGAATGTGTGTGTGCGTGTGCATGTGTGTGTGTGTGCTGTGCGTTTTTATAACCTTTCTATCACGAGACATTCAACATATCTTCACAGATCACTACAGTTCGCAACATGGGAAGCACAAACCATCTGATGTGTAACTCCAAGAATCCACCCGATCCTTGTTAGCCTACCCTGGGTTTGCGCGCGGCATTGCCCATACTTGAGCCAAGACACACGTCAGCAAGGGAAACACTGAACCACATGCCCTGCGGTCGTTTAAGGAATTGTTTGTTCAATTTGAAACAGATTGTTCTCCTCCCATGTCACTTGGCCATAAACCCCCACATCCAATGTTTTTGTGTGTGGCATCCTTCTGACTAGAGAAATCTCAGCAAAATCAAATGTTTTTTTTTCCCTTCCTTAAAAGTTTTGGTACATTGCGTTCAAATTAACACCACAAGTAATGTTCTCCTTAATGCGTTTTCCATCTAAAATGCCAACGTTTCATGTCAGGACTGGTTCATACCTTGTGTGAATAGATAGGTAGAACATGGAATTGTATTTCTGGAACCCTCTGGGCAGAAGTGGAAATAAAGCAAAGCACGGTATGATTTTTTTTGCATTTCTGAAGGGGTAATGAAAGAAGGCCATACAACCTGTGTGCTACTGCCAGCTGTGCCAAGTGGGGAGGACCCTTTTCTTGCCAAAAAAACATATTTTCGGGGAAGCTGACCATTTAGAGTTTTCAGAAAGGAAACCTTTTGAACCACACAAGAACGGTTCAGGACGGTAGTGTTTTCATGTTTTAAGTTCGTTGCTTTCCCGCCGTTGGTGGGAGGCCTCTGGAAATAGTCTATGCAGATATCCTTGCAACCTAACAACCTCAAAGTTTCCCTGCCTGGTACTTCTTAATTTTGGCACGTCTTTGTTTTACTGTGTACCTACCTACCTACCTAACTACATATCTATCTATCTATCTATCTATCTATCTATCTACCTACCTACCTACCTACCTACCCACCTATCTATCTATCTATCTATCTATCTATCTATCATTATCTATCTATCTATCTACCTACCTATCTATCGATCTATCTATCTCTGGACATGGGCCAACCGCACCTATTAGATGTAGTTTGGTTCAAATTCCCTCGCATACAAACTGTACAAAAAGATCGCGTGTCCAAACCCAGTCATGGTGGCCGGCTTCGTCAACCCAGCTACGGCAGATTGGGAAGTAGTTGTGGCAAAAAACGTTTAAATTATCATCCCATTTTTTCGGAAGGCGTCCTCTGCTTTGAACTGGTTGTTGTGGAAAATGCTATCAAAAGGACACCACTTGACTACGTGTTTTGACCAACCACATATTCCAGCGACTTTTGTGCCAAATGAAAAATTGACGTCCTGATAATGTAAAGCTGATCACTCACACTCATCCACACGAATCATCGTATCTCTCCAAGGTTCATCCTGCACACGGACCTGACCCAACCAACCAAAGACCGAAGCATGCGACGTTGTACGGCATCCATTTGATTCTGATCAGATGCGGTTAACGGCATGGTGATCGAACTGAACAAGATAGTAGGTGTCACAACTGCATCAAACAAACGCAAGCGTAGCTTGACAGAAATGTGTTTATGTGTCAACATTTCGCGATTCAACAATTATCGACATGGACATATTACGTCATATCATCACATATGCATAGTCATCGGATTTCTGAAACCTTTCCCAAACCCAGACTGCAGATTTCAATCCTGGTTGCTTTTCGAAGGAAGAATAAAAATCGAAATATCAAACGATGCGCATGCCGCGTACGCACCTGAAGTTCCAACCCGTGCAAATCCACATGCAGCATTTGCATTGCATAAAGCTTGTATGCCACATCACTCCTGAAACACCTGAGAGTCACCTAGCCAGTCTTTTGTACTTCAACACATGGCAACCCAGCCCAACCCCCATGTTTTTCTTTTTTTTCTATTTCTTTACACATGAAAATTCCAAGAGGCGGGTGGTTCTTATTTTCTGCTTGACTCTCAATGCAACTATTTCTGCCTAGGCGTGGTTTGACAAAAAAATCATTTCAAAGCCAGACACGCATGAAAAATGCTGCCATGCTCCAAGCGGAATGCTCGTTGAAAGCGTTAGTTCGTCTTACTACTTCGACAATGTGTCAAAACGGCCTTTTATTTTCGAGGGCTTGGAACACCACATTTCAACAAATGTCTGGTTTCAATGCCAAAAATTGGAACCTGATTGTGAGAATACGTTACGTGTATCTACATGCATCTATGTACATGTATCAATGTGTTTGGTAGGGTTTGGTATGTATGTTGGACATCATGTGTGCACAGGTGTGTCGCATAAACTTGCACGCCATGCAAAAGTCCATTATGGTTTGATGGGACTATAATTTATAAATTTTCAATTCATGGTCCTCCCTTGGGAAGAATTGTCATTACCTGCTGTCCGGATGCCTGCACGGTACAATAGTATGTTTGGATGTGCTGTTTTTTTTTGCTACGTAAACACCAAGGATGTCAAAGTGGAAAACATCCATTTCATGCACATGACACCAATCAACTACAGTCCGCACACACGGTGCTGTAAACACGAATTCTTTATACGACTGCCGCTGACTGTCACAGCCCCTTGACGGTACGCACCCAAAGTCAGAACTCACCTTACGCCAAATTTGCATATCATTGTTGTGAATCACATGTCATTTCGCCTTTCAGCTGCCCCTGAGCGAAAACGATTTCCATGACCGTTGGATGCTAATAATGCTGAACCTGCTGGACAATCTTCATGAGGAAAACAATCCACAACCCATCGCCGAGAAAAGCACATCCCCACTCAGCATGTCTGAAATACAACTCTAACGATGGCCAACCCAAACAGAAAGTTGCAGAATGTGAAACGTCTCCGTCTCCTAGCCTCCTAGCAACTTTCTGCTTCATGCTAGAGGCCTGCCTATTTTCGTCCAGGATGCCACGCATCATAAGCCGTCATGCACATTTTGCTTGCGATTCTTTCATCATCTCCACACTGGAACGTTTGAATTCAATATCCGAAGCAGCTCAAAGGTGATCTTGCCATCTGAGTTGCCCGAAGCTTTTCACCATCAACGACAAACTGCCAAGTTTGTCTCTGGTATCTTCCGCCCATGAATTAAAAAAACATATCCTACAAACGATTACAACCCCACCTGCGGCTGTTGCAAATGATGCTGCGACACTTCCTCCCAACCAGGCGCACTTGAATCAAAAAAAATCAGATTGGCAAAAGCGTTAGCTATGGTATGCCAACATCAAGGTGCACGCTACGAATTTGAAGTTGACAGAGGCGTAGTTTTTGCACCTGTGGTTCGTGGGAACGCCGAGTGTCCGGGACAGTGATGGGACAGAAGATAGACATGCGCAACCACAGAAAGAGAGACATACCGGACAAGAAACATCACCTGCGCCTCCCTCCACGGCTCCAAAAAAATGTCTGTAGCACATGTCTCCGGCGCCATTTTCTTGCAGGGGTTCCGTCAGCTTCTACGTCTCTTAGCATTAGATTGGTTGCCAAGGTTGGCCACCCTTTTTTCTTTTGCTAGACTAGCGAGCAATGGGTTGGAAAACACTAAAACATTCAACAAGGAACGTTGGTCCTCCAACTGTGCATTTGCTTTGAAAATCATGAGCAAGCCGCGCGTCTTGCCTCAGCAACAAGGTGGTTACCTTGTGCACAGGTCCATCGATCGATCCAAAGCCCAGCTTCGCCGCTATATTCCATCGATCCATCCAAGGAAGCTTAACAACAATGTATTTAAAATCATCCACAAAGGATCTGTTCACCTATGGGCCCCCCCGGAAGGGGAAAAAAGAAAGTATGCATTGTATACATTAAATTTAAAAAAATGGTACTAGACATGTACATACGCAACGTACGTCCGTCCATCCGTCCGTGCGTGCGTGCATGCGTGTGTGCGTACGTAGGTAGGTAGGTAGGTAGGTAGGTAGGTAGGTAGGTAGGTAGGTAGGTAGGTAGGTAGGTAGGTAGGTAGGTAGGTAGGCAAAAAGGTAGGTAGGTAGGTAGGTAGGTCCGTATGTATGTATGTATGTATGTATGTATGTATGTATGTATGTATGTATGTATGTATGTATGCATGTATGCATGCATGTGTGCATGCATGCATGCATGCATGCATGCATGCATGCATGCATGCATGTATGTATGTATGTATGTGTGTGTGTGTGCGTGTGTGCATTTGAAAAAATATAAATATATTAAGCAGCCCCGCATCCATAGCTGAGAAACAAAATCGCGGCAACATGTTCATTTATGTCTCTTCCACACATTCATTCTCCGACGCGCTCATGCTCAAAAAAATCTGCAAACGCTGACGCTCACTGTTTTTCAACCGAAATGGGAAAAGTCCAGGTTTCTTGCATCTCACGCCCCCTTCCACCGTACGGTAGGGCAGCCTTATTGAGCAATGTGCTGGTGGAATCCTGCTCCCGATACATATTGCGGAAAGACTCCAGCACGTGATTGATTTGCTTTGACAGAAAGCGTCAAAGTCAATCATTGACTGGCGCGACGCTTCAATGCGCTGCAGCCAGTTGGCATTTATCCACGGGTAGGTCTCTGCACGGTAACCTACCTCATCTAATTGGATCAGGGTGGATGTCACTAGGTGCTGGAGCGTTGCCAGGCGCTGAAGGCCTTGCAGATGGCTTGTGCAGATGTGCCACCAAGCGCTGATTTGCTCGATGGTGCTGCTGCATAGGTGGCGGGTGAGCCACTCCTTCAAGGCGGGGCAATCGCCCGAACCCTCCCACCTCACCCTTGACCAAGTAACTCAAAAAAAACAAAGAATTCAAACTGTCCAGTCCAAGCTGTCCAAGTTTCATCTGACATCGTCGATTGAATGCAAGATGCACCCATTTTCAATAAAAACTGCAAATGCTGACGCTCACGGTTTTTTCAACCGAACTGAGCGAAGTTCAGGCTCCACACACAGTTCCACCTCCCCCTCCTTCAAGAGGGTGTCACCTTCTAGCTTGGGCGGTGTCGAATATCCGTCGCAATTTTTTCACACGCGCCCTTAAACTCTCAGGCGGCAAATCCAGTGCTAAAATACGCGAAGGAACTTCCTGCTGCAGAATCGTGGTAAGGGATTTCGCCATGGGAGTGCATTCGCGCTGAATGCGGGCAAATATGCACCGACCTCTTCCTTGGATGGTTTCAGGTGCGTCGTGGTTGTGTCGGTCATTGAAGCTTTGAACCTCCTCGCAGCGGACGTGAGCGTGCATTTATCAACGTTCCGGTTGAGCCGGGCGCGTGCGACTTGGTACTTTTATGCCTTCCAGCATGACCATTGGTGGTTTGAGGGTCGTTGTCTTGTTGTACAAGGCATTGAATGGCTTGCGAAGGCCCCCTTCTTTTTTTTTGGAGCTCCAAAAAACGGTGTATGAGATGGCGTGGATAAGACACGTTCGAAAGCACGCTGTTTCGAATTTCGGCCTCAAAAGGTTTCATTTTATTCCTACTGTATGTGGATGATCTCCTTGTTGCTTTCCATGACCAAATGGAAGGAGCACACTTCTTTCAGAAACTCATGGGGTTTTGGAAAATCAAGCCCATGGGTAAGATCCCACTGCAATGTCTCCCTCGCTCGGCACTCTCGAGTATCATGGCGAAGTCGACGGGCAAGATCCCACTGCAGTGATTCCCTCGCTCGGCACACTCGATTACCATGGCAAAGTCATGCCCTTCAGTTTGGCGAGCTTCTCGACGGCCCTCCATCTCAAGTTCTTTCTCCTTGAAAAGGTTATTCGGATCAAAGTCCTGGCCAGTGTTTTTTTCCACACCTCCGACTTAATGCCCATGGTGGGGCCACCACGTTCGACGGCACAACTCGGCTGGTCGAAGCGTAAGCTCAAGTTGGGGCCCACTGAGCCACATCTCGTGCCATCTGGGACGAATTTGCCCTCCTTGATGTTCAGGAGCAAACCGCAAAGCTCTCGTAGAGGTTTGGAGAAAAGGTCCCAAGAGTAGCACCTTTGCTGGTCAATGCGTTTTTGGTGAAGTTTCCATCCGCTGAAGGTGCACGACAGATGGGACCAAAAGCCTCGCCTTGATATAACAGGCTAAGCTCCCACAAGACGTCTTTCCAGGCCCCAATGCGTCTCTCCAAGGCCAACGCCCGGCGCCACATAGCGCATGTACATGGCCTTCCTCTCTTCCGTGTTGGACGTCTTGTGGATTGTGGTTTAGCTTTCGCGGAACCCGAAGGGGCTTGAAGAGACCTCTATGATGTCGAACTCCACAGCCTGCATGCAGCTTAGGTCGCCCCAACGCGCTCTCGAGCACAAAACGAAGAGCACGCCCCCCAGGAAGTACTTGTCCGGGATGTTCTTGTCACAGGGCAACCGCGACTCTAAGAGTTTGACCCCGTCGCCAGTCAATGCTCGAGCCCACTCAGTCCAACCAGCATGGGCCCAAGGATTTCGTTCCTCCACCTAAACGAAGCCCCAAAGATTTAGCGGAAGAGTTTGACTGCGGACCAAGTTTTTGCCCACGAACTTGCGTCCTGAACGTGCCTGGATTACATCAACGCAAGCCAGCATTGTGGTACTTCCAGCAGCAGCATTGTGGTACTTCCAGCAGCCACCAAGCCACCCAGCGCTCTGAAGTCCATTTGCTGTAGGCTTGAAGCTCGGTCCACATTTCTTCGCCGTGTTGGGGGCGTCGAATGCAGAAGCATTTCTATTTCAAATCGAATCACCGCTTCGCTCCTTCTCCGACAATTTGCTCAGCACATAATTGCCTACTTGCCCAGACAAGCTCCACCCCTCGAATATGTCCAACCAACAAGCCAGGGATTTCATCCACGTGAGGTCCTGCATCTCGAAGTGATCCCGATCACACAGTGCCCGGACGTGCTTGGCAAAGGTTCGCAGCTTGGAAGCTGGTCCAGCTTCGTCCACATTCTGATTCAAGCCACTTCCCTGGTGGGAACCGGCTTGGCAGGAACCGGCGTCCAGAAATCATTTGAAGGATGACTTGGCTCTGAACATTCCCCAAGCATCTTGGCGTATACGCCAGTCTCCCATTGTAGCTTAGACATCCCACCTTCAGAAAAAAAAAACCTTGCTCGAAAACATCTCTTTGAAATGATTGGGCTTCACGGCCCTCAAACACACGCACGTCCTCATCAGGGTCTTCCACCATCTCTGCCTCCTGCGCTTCAGAGGGCCCAGGGTCATGAGGGCAAAAGGTGGCATCGCAAATGCCAAGGCGTTCTTGAAGCCCCTCACCATCGTCATTGCCAAACAGGTCGAAACCAACCCGAGGCATCCATCTGACTCCAAGTTCCCCCTGGCCAATCTTTCAAGGCGGAGCAACTGTCTGAACCCTCGCACCTCAGCCGTGAGCAAATAACTCAAACAAACATTTAAAAAAAAAAAACTGTCCAGTCCAAACTGTCTAAGTTACAATGAAATAAACGTTTGTTTGTCTTTGCCAACTGCCTTTAGAATCAATGTGTCACAAGGCACAAAAAAAAAACGCAAACAAATCCTCAAGTTTTGGCATTATTCAAGTACATATACACATATGTATAGCTGTGTGTGTGTGTATCTGTATCGATATCTATATCTGACTCTATTTCCACGTCTATATTTTTATCTATGTCCATGACTCGATTTTTATCGCTACCTATATCTGAATCGCGTATTGTATTCAAATTGAGATCAATATCGGTAAATTTCTTTATTTCCAAATATGTATCTACATCTGTACCTCCATCCATATCTGCATCTATAGCTCAATTCACATCTATTTCCACATCCAGATTTATATCTGTATCTACATTTACACCTACATCTACATCTTCATCTATATGTATATCTATATCTGTATCTATATCTATATCTGTATCTATATCTATATTTATATCTATATCTAAATCTAAATCTACATCTATATCTATATTTATGTCTATGTCTATGTCTATGTCTACGTATATGTTCATATAAGTTCAACCCTGGATTTAAAAAACCCTAAGCTGTTCAATTCGGAAGTTACCATGTAAGTATCAAATCCTGATGGGGTAATACCCCCTAATTAATAAACTGCGAAGGTTCACTGAGAAACGCATGCACTCGCTTTTGTGCCGAAAAGGGCCTCGATGAAATGAAACCTGAATCATGAGTTTCCATGACAGGTAAATGAAAGTGACACAACTGTTACATCTCGATTTGTGTGTGTCATCCTTGCTATGAGTAGGCCGCACAATTCTTTGCACTCCTCCTCAAAATGAGGAGGTTTCTCGTCATTTTGGACAACCAGCGCATTCATCCAAACTCTTTCTTTGAATGTGCACCGGCCTCCATTTCCAAATTCTCTCACGTCATCATGCTTTGCATATCCGTGACATATTTGTAGAATCTTTCTGCTCTTTCGTCCAAGCCTCTGTTACGGTGGTATCTGTAAAGTCTTTGTCCAATGTTTCTGACTGCAGTGATCACTCTCATCGATAACCCCTCAGGATTTTGGCCTGAGGTTGCATCCAACAACGTTACAATCGCTTGTTGCAACTGCGAAGCTTCGTTCCATCGCTCACCTGCAAGTGCATTGTTTTGATCTTTCCGGAGATTATCCAGCAGGACTGCAGCGTCGGGGGATATCTCCGGATCATCTGCCGGCGATTCTTCTTCTCCACGCTCTTGGCCATTACCATCTTCTGCAGCATCTGTTGTTTCTGACTGGTGTCTCATATTCCATAAAACCAAATTGGCACGTTCTTGAATCAGCATGTGGTTACGCTGCTCTCTGTTGAGGGTCTGCGTACGGATGAAACCTCCAATTTCCATCAAACCGTATCTGATGCAATCCGCATTTTCTTCATTGCTGACCAGGTTTTCCATGACCTGATGTTCAAAAGCTTCATGCCTTCCAACCAAAGCATCGTGCACTTCTCCCGCTGTATTCAATCTTGTATCCAATTCGGCTGCAAATTCATAATGATCTGCCAGTTGTTGTTCCACTGCAGCTAGGCTCACCTGCAAACCTCCAACCGCAATCTCTGCTTCCAGCACTCTCTTGCTCAAACGTTTCCATGCCAGAAAACCAATTGTGAAAACACAGATGAATAAGAACGTCACAGTTAAAATCCACCATGCATTGTACTTTGGCTCATCTTCCAGTCCATGGCAAACATCTGGAAATGCCATTGCGCCTGTAGGTCTGTTGAGTGGCTCAAGGCCCATCGCAAGTGACATTCGGTATATGGCCTTTGCAATCCGTTTGATTTGTGCAGCACCTCCAACCTTTTCAGTATGTCTCGAAAACTCCTCCTGTCCCACATCTTCAAAGGACGGGATATAGATCAAGCCTGTTTCATGCATGAGGTACAGAAGCCTTTGTCTTGTCAAGCATTTTGTACCTATATCTGCAAGATTCTCGCTCGTTCCAACCTGTCTCAAAACAACTGAGCCATCTTCTGTTTTCTCCTGCGCCCACAAGATTTTGCCGCTAAGGTGGCGGACACGTCCGCTGCCCTGTCTGCATGCCAGCTGTCTGGCTGATGAGCTGTCGGTGTACTGGATGTGCTCCACCTCCTCGTTCAGGATGAACTCTGCACATGCTTTTATGAAAATTCCATCACACATGCTGCTGACCATTGAGTGAAGTTCACTTTCACAGCTGGATAAACTCACCACCTTCTGACTCCGACTGCTACCGTATGCAAATGAAGAGTTGAGGAAATGCATTCCGCAAGAAGTGGATCTGCGGTGATTCCTGTTGGCACTCCAGTCTGCGTCTGTGTAACTTTCCAAAACCCAATTGCAAGAACTTCCTGAAGCAAACTTTCCCTGTCCAGGCATTGGCACATGCAAGCGTACACCTATGTCTCCCATCTGTTTCATAAATCCAACCAACTTCCTCAAGTGACCAAGTGCTGCTACTGTCGGTGATGACATTGCACATGCAAGCTCCTTTATCGGGAACATGAGGTCCGGACGTTCGCGTGCAATGTACAAGCAAAGCCCTACCAGAGAACGAAAAGATGTTGCATCCTTCTTGTCAAGCTTGGGAGAATTGTCAGGCAGTTGTATGGACTGGTCACATGGTGTCTTCTGACTACGCACTGGTCCAAAAGCTTTTTCAAACAATCTCACCATCTTTTCAACATTCGTTCCAGGTGTAATGACCAAACCTTCATTTGTTTCAGTCATCGTCCGCCTCAAGAATTTGATGCTACTGCCAACACCGTCCAGTTGCTCATGTGAAATCGAAAACTTCTGCTGCATCTCCTTCAAGAAGACTTCATCCCAAAACGATTTCAAACCAACGAAAAGTATGTCATCCACATGAATGAGGATTGTGGCTTTTGAGTTCCTGGCCATGCAAGGCTGCACTGCTGAAAACTGAAAATCCATGCGCTCCTTCAAAAACGCTTGGAGATGAAGAAACCACTGCTTAGCTCCCAGCCGTTGTCCTGGAAGGTTCCTGTTGATAACAAACGGTTCATTTTGCAAATGCACAAGTATCGGCTGGCTTTGTTCAACCTGCAGAAATGCATCACGAACATCAATGCTTGCCATCACAACTTCATAGTCTTTTGACTCCATTTCAGCAGCTTGTCTTTTCATCCACAAGTATTTCAATGGCAGCAAATTGGAAGTGTGGGCACCTGTCGCAGGTGAAAATGTATCTAACCGTTTTGACACTGCGAATTCTCGCGCTACGAAGCGCGATCTGCGCATCCACCTTTTCTTTGAATTTTCACCCTCGCCCCATTGCTTCAGCCTCCAATCCCTCACAAATTTTGTCGTGAGGCTGCCAGTCACTTCACCTTGAAACTGCTTTGCTGGAATCAAAACCTGCATCGCACACAAGCGTTGGATTTCCACTTTGTCAGCCAGTTCGTCAACCCAGCTCTCAGGTGGCAACGGTGTCTGATCAATTGGTGAGTCAGACCAGACTCCTTCAGGAATCCCATGCAGCTCAACAGATTCTTCTCCAGCCCATATCTCATCTTCGTCCTCCATCTCTTTGTCCACATCAAGCTCTGTTTCATACGCATCCATCGTGAAGTACTCTTTGTGCTCAATCTTGACAGCTGAAAGACGTTTCTCATAGTCCATGCGCATCTGGTTGATGCGCTGTTTCTTTGCATCTTCAACACGCTGTCTTTTCGCAACTTCATCATCTTCAGTTTCTGTCGGTCTTGTTGCTGGAGATGATCTGGGGCTTTCTACCATCCTATACTCACGAGGTGGTGTCACTGGCACTGCAAGTCCTGGGTCATCCATTTCAACGTTGCCTGCTGAACTTGAAGCTTGTCCAGACTGAGCTCGAACCTCCAAAGGCAAACTGGGAGGAACATCAACTGCAGCATCTTTGGATTGCAGCTCCTGTTGTGGCTGAGCCGCACTTTGCAAAGGGTCATTGGCAGCCATTGCAGAAATCTCCTCCTGCATCTTTTTCTCCTTCTCTGCAAACTCGATGACTGCCTGCGCATCTTTGTCATGAAGGCGGCTGTCCTCAATTGGACCCAAAGGAACTTCAAAGCTCACTGAACGCGGCACTGGCCTTTTCATTGTCGGCAAAATCCTCGTTCCAAAACCAGACTTATATTGCCATGAAAAACACCTGCAATGCAAGTAGTATGCCAGATGGGTGCGCCACGTCGTGTTGATGCGCCTCACGCTCTTTGAAAGGATGATGGCTTGACCATCAAAGAGCACATAGGAATTTGGGCTTCTGCTTTTCCTAAAAAAAACATCCTTTTCCACTTTGCAGCTGCCTTTGTTGCTGGTACCACATACCCGAAAACGGGTTCACCAAACTCGCACAACTCACCTGTGAAAACACGGCCATATGCAAGCTCGTATGCTGTTGCACCTCTAATCACTGAAAACCTTGAAATCAACCATGCAGCATGTCGTAGTGCCCAAGACCATATGGCACTTGATGTTTGCAATTGAACTCCTAGGCGACCATGAAGCTGATGCATGAGTGAGCAAGCCAATGGACGCACTCTTCCAACTGCATTTTCTGCCAAGCTATTGCCCTTGTCGTAGGCTATGGCGCTGCTCTCTCTGGTCTTGAGACCCATTGCCTGCCTTGTACGCAGGAGAAGGTTCTTGATCTGTAAGATCGAGGGCTCGTTGTCGCAATGCAAAATCACCTCTGAGTATCCAAGCGTTTGGATGAACTTGATAATTTCACGGTTGGCATGATCCAGTTGCACCTTCTTTTCAAGTGGGATGCATGTCACAAAACTTGTATGGCTGTCCACCACAATCAAGGCTGTAATGGTGCTTGGATCACCTTCTGTTCCAGGCTGCCCATCAGACTTCGTGAAGAAGTAGTCAAAGCTGATTGTAGGAACTGAACCAGCATGGCTTTCGCCCGTGTTTTCGTGGCGATCAGGCCTGGTTCTATGTGCCACGCATGATGGGCACCAATTGGCAAAAGGAAGGTGGGTCAGGCGATGCTTGTTCTGCTCAAACTCAGTAGGCACCTCAGCATTCACTGGTGCCAATGGATCGCGCTCTTCTTGTCTTTTGGATTCCTTTGCAGCAGCCATGATCATGTCCAACTCCAGCTTCTTGGAATGATTCAAAAGTCTTTCAAAGCATTTTGACTTCGACCCTGAAGAAGAAAGGCCGTAGAAGGAGCATCCAGCCCTCAGCGCAGCTAATCCACTTGTGGCACGCAAAAGGGTGCCATTCACGTTCACCTCATCTTCGGGTGTTGGGCGTACAACCAATTGGCCCTCAGGAATCTCCCGGCCTGCTATTTCCAAACCTTCATCTGCAGAAATCTCACCATCCATGTCATCTTCAGGCCTTACTGGAAAACCTGGAGCACCTTCATCAACCAGTGAAAAACCAAACACCACAGGATCCTTTTCTGCATCTGTTATGAACGTGATGACATTGCGCTTGCCTCGAAAACCATAAAACTCTGCATCAAGCTGAATCAAACCTTCAAGTTGCTCGCAAAGCTCTGTCACATACCACTTTCTGTCATTGCCTTCTACCAGAGTTGTTCTGTAGAATCTGCCAGACAAATCAGGTTTAACCAATGTCGGGCCTTGATGTTTTTCAGCAAAATGTCTGCCTATGCCACAACCACGTGAGTCAAGCTCCCAGCCAACAGCACCATTCAACACGCTGTCAATCACCTCAGCCTGTATCGCCCTGACGCAAGAGTTGTCGGGCACTTCACTGCATTCCTTCAAGGCTCTGATTGTTCCATGGACAATGAGTGATTGATTCTGCATTTCAACTGGGATATGCGCTCCAACTGAGTCGTGGACTAAGGCTTGCTGACTTCCACTGATGCCCCAAGCAGACTGTAACAAGTGGCCATAGCACAGGATCGGTTGGCTGACCCTGTCTGAAATTGCCGCACGTTCCCTGAGAAGGATGGTGCGCCCTGAAATGTCCTTCAGGCGGATTTCCATGTCTTGCACTGCATCAACTGGAATCTCAACCCCTTGGGCATCACATAATTTTCCAATTACACCCTCTGCAGGCTTTCCCAGTCCAAGCAATGACGCTGGGAAAATTGAGGCGTCGGCGCCGCTGTCGATGAGGATGCTATGCAGCTGCTCTGAACATTCACCATCACCACTAACAATTGTTCTAATAACACCATTGCAAAGCTCTTCACAACATGAATCATCTGAAGTGTCACCAATGTAATGATAAACCACATGAACTGCACCACCAAAACTGCTTGGACTTGAATCGCGCAAATCAAAGACCAAATCATCATGTTTTGAAACATCTTCATTGATCTCCTGAATTCGTGAAACTCTTTGCTGTGTGGATGAACTCGAAGTTGCAATCACTGGCAATTGCTGAGCTCCAGACTGGTACTGCGATGCACTTGAAACACCTCCAAGTGATGAACTTGGAGAACCCTGCAAAACTGTTGAACCTGGCATCGATTCTGAAGCAATGTTTCTGACCTGTGAAGCCTGCCAGCAATCCCGAGCAAAATTGTTAAGCAGGCGGAGTGCACAAGCAAGTCCTTTTACATCGTGGGTTGAGCCACTGTAGATACATTGCAGACAAATGGATGTCTGAGTGAACATGGATACATGTACGACATGGAACTGTCAAAAGAATCTAACACCCCACCTCAAAATCGGGGTGAGTCAGCAACGATTTTGATGCCGACAATTGGAATTGTTTCATGTCCACTGTCAAAGAAGGTCAACCAAAGGGGATAGGAAAACCATGATCTTGATGAATAAACCATTGTTCACAAAAGCTTCCAAAACAGTCCAAATATTTGCCTTCAATGACAATGTTCTGAAAAACACGATATTCATGTTGCTGCTTACGATCCCACCATAATGGGTGATCCCAGGACATATCCGGTTGATTTGGATACAGGACCATCAGGTGGCACATGTAAAATTCTCTCAGATTTTGTTCTGAGAACAAAGCCACCTCACGCACGCGTTGAGCTCGTTCACGTTGTAGGCGTGGGAAGTGCTCCTCGGCCACATCCAAATTTTGCCAATCCAAACCAACTCGAGGTAGATTTGGAAGATCATCAGGTGTCCCAGGAGGGGATCCGGGCAGCTCCACAGTCTCGTGCAAAACATGTGGTTCAGGGCCTCGATGTTCAACCATCGGTGAGAAGTCAGTTTGAACCTGAGCATCTACTGGTTCATCTTCTGTCTTGTTTTCTTCTTCTGCATTCTCATCCGCATCCTCAGGACCAAGTTGAGGGTCCAGCAGCATACTTGCTTCCAGCGGATCCAGCTCTTCCACATTCAGGCGTCTCCTCGCTTCAAAGTGCGGTCGCACAAATCTTGCCAAACCTGTCTCTGTTTCACGAAAGAACTCCTCACCAGAATCGGCGTCTCTTGCATCAGCCAAAACACGGAATTGTACCAGCTCGTGGTTCAATGGGTCCCAATCATCCACCAAAGCAACTTCGCGCCGTCGATGAAGGCGTCGCCACATTCGCATGGACCACTGTGCCATGTGGACAATCTTCTCAACGTACACCACCTTGTGGATGAGGTACCCAATGCCAATCCCAATGAAGACAAAGACCAGGGTGTAGAAGACCACGAAGACCTTGTTGTCCAGGAAGAAGTCGATGTAGACGTACTTCATCTCCAGCGTCTTGAGCTCGATCATCTCCGTGTTGACGCCATCCACCATAGGCTGCATTGCCAATAGGGTCATCAATTTGACCATTGGCTTCGAAATCTGCGATTGAAGACCTTCAGCACCATCGCTCAAAGTGTTCAGCACCACCTGGCGAACGATCTTCATGTTCTTGCTAAGGGCCTTCTTCCGCATCTCCTCATTGAATTCAGATTCGCCGACAGGAACATAGGCTTTGGCCGCTTCGTCATAGACCACCATGCCCATGAGGAACATCAGAAAAGATCTGCGAATCCTTGAAAGTTTCTTGGTGCCGATGTCCGCCACATTCAAAAGCGTCGCCACGCCTGTCATCGTGAGCATGCCCAATTTGACACATTGCTGCAGCCATAAGTATTTCGTCTCGATGTGCTTGAGACGTCCAACTCCTTGACGTTGGGCAAATGCTCTGCAGCTACTGGAATCGGTCACCACATCCACTTCAGTCTCCTTTCTCACAAGGAATGTCCACAACCTTCCAATGTGAATTCCTTCTGCTCCTCCGCCAACTGCTGCAAGGTATTCGCTCTCGCAGGAACTCAAAGCAATGCTCTTTTGGGAGCGGGACCAGCTTGTCACAGGGCGCCCATTCAGAAAAATCATCGCAGATGACACTGAATGCCTTCTTCGGGATGAGCAACTTGACTGGTCACCTGCCCAATCCGAATCCGTGAACACCTCCACAAGCTCAGAGGTCATGGGGTTTGATTCGCGCCCATAAACTGAATCCAGCTTTCCACCAATCACCTTGTAGGGGAGCAGCATGCCATAGGTCTTGGTACCTGACAGGTACAAAACAAGGTGCCGAACTCCTGCTTTTGCAAAACGGGTGGGTTTTGCCATCCACTGGGCCAGATGCCGAACACTGTGTTGGATATCCCACCGATCAGCGGAGAGGTAGAGGAGTGTGCCCATCGCGGATCGAAAAAGATGAGCTTCGCCAGGTTCCAGCTCGCCATCATCACCGGACCAATGCGAAAGGTCGGGCGTAGGCTTGGGCTTATAGCCCTCCACCTGGAACATCTTAATGAGGTCATCCACGTATCGCTCGTGCGGGGCCACGATAACTCCTTCTGATGTGAAAAAGTGTCGCTTTTTCAGGAAGCGGACTGCTTCTTGTGGATCCTGATCTGGTGCCGGGATAACATCCCCACCTGAAATGGTCATCCGCTCCTTGACCTTTGAAATCAGCCACAAAAGGTCGCCTTGTTCACCGCAAAGAACTAGGTCATCAACATGAGAACATAGAGCTACTTGGCGAGTGCGGTGCCTGAATAGGCTTGGCAGCAGGGGCGTGTTCTCCATATCCAGCTCCTCAAGGTGTTTGCTCAAAAAGGTGAAGAAACGAGCAGCAGCGTTTCTTTGCCCAGGCAAGCATTTCTCCAGGATCCAAACTCGCTCATGATCATCTTGTCCTTCTTCAGGCTTCCACCAAGAAGGCTTGGCCACCAAAACGCATTCTTGCTGATCAACTAGGAGAAAGGCATCCTTGATGTCCACGAAAGACAAACACCATCCCAAATAAACATGGAGCAGCAGGATCAATCTGCTTCCAATCCCTGCTGTAGGGGCAAACGTCTCTGCCGTGTTCTTGGAGTAGCCCTTGAACTCTCTTGCCACATACCTGCATCTCCTTTTCCAACCACCACGTTTTCTCCAGTCATAGACTGACCTTGTTGTGAGGAGAGTGCCACGTTCTCGCTCTTCAGGTGTGGGCTCACGCAAAACCTTCATGTCCAAAAGACGGCTAATTTCCTCAAAACCAGCGGCTTGATCCACAACTTCCAACTCACTCTCAGAGAGAATAGGTGGGTGCTCACCATCATCATCTTGGGGTTCCAGAAAATTGCCAACATCGTCCTGAAACTCCTCATCGCCAGTCAAAAACTCCAGGATTGCTTCTTCCCAGCCATCATCATCAACTTCACCGACCACCTCATCAACTTGCAAAACATTGCCTGCAAAACTTGGTGGGAAAAGTCCTTTGTTGGATGGACTTGTCTCTGGGCTGAGTCTCGGAGCCTTTGACTGCGGTTCTTGAACTGACGTGTCATCCAAAACCATAGAATCAGCCAGACCACTGGCTGCACTTGTCGCATGACCACCACGGTCTTCACTTCCACCATCCTGAAACTTGCCTGCCTTCCTTGGAGAAAAAGTTTCACCATCAGCTTCACGCTTCCGATCTTGTTCTTGCTCCTCCAGAAGTCCATCACCCTCATCATCGGTGTCGTGGGGGTGCTGCTTGGCATAGTCTCGAACATCCCGAGCATCATAGTCGATTGCTTCTTCATCTTGGCCTTCAGGTTGAGAATGAGTCACAGGTCTGGGTGTCACCGTGCCACCAAACTTGAGGGCTTTTGGAATCCTTCTGCGTGTGCTCTGGTAAGGTTTGTGCTTGACAAGGAAAAGCCAAAGCGGTCTCCATGGGGTCGATGTGCGTCTGATTGCCTTGCCCTTGATGATTCCATCGCACGTAGCAACCACATGAAGATCTTCTTGCTCAGTTTTACCCAACCATATGCCAGGCACCCATTGCGGTCCTTGTTTCACATTGAGGCCACGACGGTGAAGAACCATCACTGCTTCTCCGAAGCAAGCCACCTTTCCAGCATAGCGCCTTCCATTGACCAGCTCAAAAGGGCTAATCTGAGTAGCAGCTGGGCAGTGAAAACGATTCAAAGTCCAAGTTGAGTAAAGGTAACTCCAAAGGTGTACTGGATGATCAGAAGGAAGTCTCAGCTCGCAACGCACTTCTGCCATATTCACCAATGTTGAAGCTTGCCGCCTCACAGTTTGAATCGCTCTCTCAACTTGTGCTGTTCTTCCCTTCTCATTTGGCTTGGCATGGGTCACTGTTGTTGCTAACCCAAGCTGTTGGCGCATGAGCTTGACACTGCTCATCAGGCTTTTCATTGTAGGCTCAGAGTCACCTACAAATTCAACTTGATCCATATAGTTCAAAGCCAGAGAGAATTTTACCAACTGCTCAGCTTGTCCACGTAGATCAGAACCTTTGGACTCCACCGGGTAGGACATGACCATCTTTGTCCATGTGTCGACTGCAACCAAAACGGTGAGTGTGGGCTTGTCAGCCTCAATCTTTCCAAAGGCATAATCTGCTTGAATGCAGGGAACAGAGCGTCTTCCTTCTGGTGCAGGATCCAAAATCCTTTGAGGGCCACTTCGGGCTTTACAGGCCACGCAGTGATCACACCAGCTCCGGTAAGGAAGGTGAGTCAGCTCATGAAGACTGCGTTCTTCTGCTGTTGGAACTCGAGGGGTTGATTGTGGCACCAATCCTTTGTGAACTTGTTCCTCTCGATACAGCTGGTTGGCAGCTGAAAGCATCATCTCATGTTCATGCCGCTGTACTGCTTGGTTAAGACGATCCCATAGTGCCTTCTTGGCCCCACCTCGAGAAACACCCATGAAAGAAGCGCAGGATCTCAGCATCTCCAATGAGCTATTGATGGTCACCACATTGCCATTGACCACCAAAGAATCCTTGTTGTCAAAGATCCATTCCACACCACCAGCATCATCAGAAAAAAGGATACCACCAGGATGCGCTTGAACCAATTCTTCAGGCTTGAGGCCTTCTTGAAGTTCAAGTGCAACCGGTGCTTCTTGTTGAAACGCAAAGTCACTGGCGTCAGCATCAGCTCCACTAGCTTCAACTGAAGCTTCACCTTGCAAAACGCCAAGGGTTGAAAGAGGCTCCTCCTTCTTGTGCAGCATGGTCAAAACCATACAAGGCTTCCCATAGCATTCAGCAATCTCGTCCTCATAGTTGATCTTGGTGAAGTAGGGCACGCAGTGCTCCACAACCTCCCAGGAAAAATCTGGAAGCTGAATCAACGTAGATCTCCTTGGCCACTCACTCCAGGGAAAGAGAATGCTAGGGTTCAAATACCTTGAACTCTCGGGGGTGATGATGAAAGGATTGCCATCCTCAGTCATAGTCCAACCACGTCGAAAAATGCGGTCAGTGAGCTCCTTGTGAGGTTGCACCACAGTTTGCACCACCAGTTTGTAGGGTCTATAACCCATACCATCTTCTTCATCATTTTCTTCCTCAATGCAGGTCATAGGGCATGACAATGATGTAGAAGCCACTTGTGCAGGTAGTGCAGGAACATCATCCACCATGTTGACAACCCTGATATGCGCAAAAACTGCAAGGCTGTTGCGCTTGAACTGCAAAGGAATCTCGCACTGTCGATCTGGAGCTAGAAGACTGACTCCAGCAGGGGCATCAGGCGTCGGTGTCATAGTCCATCCTCTGTGCAAAAGCCTGCCAAGACTGACAAGAGGACACCTCACATTCGAAACTACAAAGTCATCCTCAATGACCACCAAACCATTGCCACGATCCTCAACCTCAATCTGTGCTGACCTTCTACCAAAAGTTTGAAGTCGACCTCTTTGTGCATCTTCCAGGATTGTCCTGGAAAAACGTCGGCCACCATCTTGTCCACGATCAGCCATGCTATAAGGCAAAAGGCTGATGTCAGCACCAGAATCCAAAACGATCAATTGGCCATCTTGCAAAGGCACAGCCCTGATGTGGTACACATCCACATCTTCACCAACATGAACCTGATCCATAGGGCTGTTTTGATCATTGTATCATTTCATCAAACCATCATTCTCTTCTCGCACGCTGTCATCAGAAGCTTCGTCCTGTGCAGCCATGTTGAAACATGCCGTGGAAACCATTCTCACACTGTACCAATCTTCACTGTCCTCTCCATCACTCCTCAGCTCATAGCAAGCCGGTTGACTCTGAGGAGGAGTTGCAACATTGTACATCTTGACCATCCTGATCTTGGAGGAAGACTGTGAAGAAATTGTTGATGCCGTACTTGCCCTTCTGGGAATCGAACCTGTTGTGCTGGCACCATCACCACCAACAACTTGGCCAGCAGGTTGATCTTGAGCCTGAGACAAATTGACCTGGCTCACATTGCCCTTGTTGGGACACTCGTTTCCCCAGTGACCAGCCTGGCCACAAACACGGCACACATTGTTGTTTCCACCATAGCCCTTGCCTTTCTGCTTTCCTTTCTGTTTGCCTTTGCCTTTCTTTCCCTTTTGTTTTCCTTTGCCTTTTGAATTCTTTCCACCACCATACTTGCCACCAAATGGCATTCCAAACCAACCGCCTTTCTTGCCCTTTGTCTTGCCTTTGTTCTTTCCTTTGCCCTTCTGACCAAACTGAACTTGATCCACTTCCATTGGAGCAGGGCCTTGGTATGTCGTGCTCGAAGATGGGTTCTGCAGCTGCTGAAGGTTGCGCAAGAAACCATCTCCACTCCAAGACTTGCAGGATCAACTTCTCCTTCAACTTGGAGTACGTGATGTCATCATCCATGACCATCTCCAAATGACGTCTTGTAGGGGCATCAATGCACCTCAGGACCGTGCTGACTGCAAGGTCATCTGGCATCTTTGCACCTGAAGCCAACTCATACTGGTCCAGCAAGGCATCAAAGTTGAGCAGATTCTCCAACATAGCGCGTTGACTGGGAAATCCAGGATGCTGCATGATCGCCTGACCAATTGCCAATGCCCTTGGTCTCGCCCTCGGTGCATACAAAGCTTTGAGGCGATGCCACACAGCAAAACCATTGCGCTCATTTGAGAAGGCTCTGATAACCTGAAAAGCAGGACCACGTAGATAAGAAACCAAAATGGAGTAAAGCTTCGTCCCCAGCTCTTGAATCTCAGGTGACAATGAATGCATGGGCTCCACCGTGTCAAGGTTTTCAACGTCCTTGATGAGGTCACCATAGCGTCCATCACAAAAGACCAGCCAGTTCATGAATTGCTCTCTCCAAAAACTGTATCTCACAGGATCATCTGTGTCAAAGGTGTCGGGCGCCTTGAGGACACGTGCGCCATCACCAAACCTTTGGCCACCACCTTTTCCAGGTTGAAAGCTGTGCATCATCGTGTGTGCAGCCTGAGCAGCTGTTGTTGCAGCTTGAGAAAGATCAACAATCCTTGTCACAAGCTCATTTGCCTGCTCAGCATTCATTCCATTGGCCTGGGACAGCATGGCCAGCATGAGGAATCCCTTGAACTGTAGCTTGGACTCCCAGCGCTGTCTCAATCCACCATTCCAACGTAGGCCAATCCTTCGAGGACTCAAGTGGCTCACCAACTTCAGGTTTCTTGTTCTCCTTTTTCTCAACAACCACCAGCATGACATGCAAAGAAGAAGAGCAATGCAAAGTGATGTCAAAGGGTAGGAGGACAAACATGTTAAACACAGCCGTGAAGTTGAAGCACATGAAGAAGCCATCCATGAAGTTGTGCAGAAAATAGAGCTCGTTGTTGTCTCATGCAATGAGGCTACCACCAAACGTGCTTGATGTTGAAGCCAGCAGGTTCCAATCCTGCCACAATTTTCAAAGGAAGGGCTCCGATCCTCTTCCACCAACGTCTCAGTTGAGACCATTCCATATCCTGTGGTTCCAATCCACGTTGAATTGCCATTTTCAAGGCATGAAGTGCAACTCATGCCACCAGAAAGCTCAGCTCCAAAACCATCATAGATCTCGGCAACGTCGAAGGTGACAAAGTCCATGTTGTAGTCACCCAATCGGCTTCTCATAGGCATCATCGTATTGGGCTCTGCTATGCGATGGGGTGTAGGGCGCCAATCCCAAACAACCATCTGAAGTCCACCATCCATCGCTTCGAATTCTCGGTGGTGTTCTGCTTCGCCACATAGAAGTCCACACCAAAGCGTCACCACCAACGCCAAGGTCGCCATGGAGCGTAGTGACAGCTCCGCTGCCATGTTAAGCAGGCGGAGTGCACAAGCAAGTCCTTTTACATCGTGGGTTGAGCCCCTGTAGATACATTGCAGACAAATGGATGTCTGAGTGAACATGGATACATGTACGACATGAAACTGTCAAAAGAATCTAACAAAAATGCCCGGTTTTACCACACACGTAGCAAGACTTGGGCTCATTCTTTCCCTTGTCTTTTGGCTTGTCATACGAATTTCCTTTGGCACCTTTCTGATCATATGTCTTTCCTTTGCCTTTGCCATTTTTTCCTTTTTGTTTTCCCTTTGACTTTCCTTTCTGCGCACTGCTATCTTTTGACTTTCCCTTTCCTTTTCCTTTGTTCTTTCCTTTTGATTCTATTCTGTCTATCTCCATTGGAACTGGGCCATCAGCATGACTTGAAGATCCATCTAAGCCCAAAACCATAGTCTCCGACCACTTCGTTGTTGAGCTGTCGTAGAGCAGGATCATCTTTCGCACCTTGCTGTACGTGGTTTGTTCTGTAACCTGAAGTTGCAATCATGTCTTCAGATTTCCCTGCACACACCTCATCAGTATTGCAGTCTTCAAATCATCGTTCAGTTTTGTTCCAAGCTTTTCATATTCACTGTAAGCATGTTCCAAACGAAGCACCTGTGACATCAGCGACTGCTTTCCATTGAATGCAGACCAGTTCACAATTATGTTCAAAAGACCCATGCTTCTGTTCTTTGTCAGGGGCTCGTTTTGCTCCACCAGTAAACGCTAAGCTTCCAAACCATTTGAACCTGTGACCTGCCGCACTACCAGAAGGGGTCGTTGGCGAAGAAGGGAAGATAGCATACTGTACATAAAACTGTTGCGTTGTCTCTCACTTTCAGAAAAATCTACAGGATCGATGGCTTTCGTGATATCCTTTCTCATTTCTTGGATATCATCGCTGAATCTAGTGTCAATCGAGCCCATGTATTGCTCGAATGACCATGACCATTCCTTCCATCCAGCGATTTCACTCTCTCTGGAGGCATGATCGAATGTTGGTGGCTTTGGACGTAATTTCCACCAGGTCTTCTCATCTGACCCTTGTCTCACCTTCTGCGCTATCTGTGCAGCCGCCTGTGCAACAATAGTAGCAGCCTCCACTGCTGCTAGCAACCTCTGAGCCATGTCAGCTGCTCCTGTAGCTCCACCTGTTGGAGAACCACTCGGCGAACCAGGAAATGGATTTTCACCACTCGCTGTTGGCCCCATGCCTTTTTGCAGAAAAACTTCAAGTCCTACTACACCGTTATCACTTCCTTCCAAGCAACTTCTTAGGAAAAGAGATTCACCAAAATGCACCTGTAATCCAGAAACCTGTTTTAGGCTTTCGCCTCCAGTATAAATCCCAGAATTCAGTATTGCAAAGCTGTATTTGAATCTCACTCCAGTTGCCAGCTGATCTCAAAGCGCCACCAGCCAAAAGAAAAAGCGTATGCCCAAACTGGGCTCCGCTACCATGCGAAAGTTCACTGAGAAACGCATGCACTCGCTTTTGTGCCGAAAAGGGCCTCGATGAAATGAAACCTGAATCATGAGTTTCCATGACAGGTACATGAAAGTGACACAACTGTTACATCTCGATTTGTGTGTGTCATCCTTGCTATGAGTAGGCCGCACAATTCTTTGCATAAACAATTGTTTTTGAATCTGCGGTCGGCATTATATAATATTATATATATATATCCATATGCGTTTCCAAATCCATGTTTGCATCTATATTTACATCGTGTATTTATAACATTATGTTGATCTAACCACCTCAAGGCTAAAATCCATGGTCACGACCATCCAATCTGAGAACTCAGAACGGACGTTGCGAGGCATGGAGCGGGCACAGCCTTCACCAAAAGAAAATCCTACATCGTGAGAAACATCTTTGCTATCTCTCCCTGAAACAACCACACACACATAATTATGTGTGTGTTTTTTTTGTTCCATTTCTTTATTTGAATTTGCATTCGAATTTAAACCTTTACAACTATATTTATTTACATATCCCTACAACCCTAAAACTATGTCCCTGCTAAAAAAAAACTGGAGATCTCTCATGCACCTCGGTGCATGCATAGGATGTTGCGTCTTGCAGATGATGTTACGCTACACACGTCTTATGTAAATCGGTGCGTGCACAAGATGTTACTCAGGATTTATGTACTTCGTTGTACGCAAAAGATTTTACACTTAACACGTCTTATGCACACCTTTGCACACACAGAATGGTATGCCAGCCACATCGTAACCACCACGGCGCACACAACCCTAGACTCGATTTATGTGCACTTAGGTGCGTGCACACTCTGTTCTGCTTGACACCTCTTATTAAACTTCGGTGCACGCACAAGATGTTACGCTTGACATGTCTTATAAACTTCGGTCAACGCACAGGATGTCGCGCTAGACGCGTTAAATGTACCGCGTTGCACGCACAAGATGATACCCTCGACACGTCTTATGTACCTTGGTTTTGACATGTTTTTTCCCACTGCGGGGCGCACACAAGATGTTACGTTTGACATGTTTCATGTACTTCGTTGCCTGCACAAGATGTTACCCTAGACAAGTCTTGTGTACTTCCTTGCCCGCACGGGATAATGCGTTAGACACGTCTTATGTCTTCGGTGAACGCCCCTACGCTTGACATGTCTTTTGTACTGCGGTGCGCGCACAAGATGTTTTGCTTGACACTTCCTACGCACGTCCTTGCGCAAAGGATGTTACGCTAACTAGGCTAGACACGTCCCATGTATCTCGGTGCACGCATAAGATGTTACACTACACACGTCT